GCCAGCCCTATAGCACTTTTGTGTGCATCAGAAAAAAGAATCCCTTCTTTAATATACTTTATTTCCTCCTGCTGAAATATTTTAATAATAAATATTCAAGTCCATGATGCCCGTAAGTGTATTTCTTTGAAACATCGCGCCCTTGCGCACTACACGATCTATGCAACCGTAGGTGAAGACGCCCCTGAAAGGGCATGATCATAGGAAAGGTGGCCGAGGCAGCGCTGCCTGCCCTGGAAACCCTGCCCGTGGAGATGCTCGTCGTCCCGCACGACACCGGAGTCCCTGAGAACCGCGCAGCAGCGCTCGCACAATAGGGTCTGCCCACGTGTGCGGCTACACCCCTCACGTCAACGTGCCTGTGGACCAGACGCGGCACAGCTCTGGCTGTTCTTTCACATAAAATTGTGAATCATTTATTTTTCCTTGAACTAGTATCTTAAAAAAAAGATATATATTTTTTTCATATTTGTTTTTCAGGTAATGGCTAGGAAAGAAAAAAGTCCTCGTTATTGTGCATCCGTTATATACAGACCTAAAAATATTACCCTGAACAAATGGAGATCTAGGGAAAATGACTGCTGGGGGCACCCTGCGGGTAAATTCAAAGTTTTTGTCAGTCAATCTTTTCACACAGCTCACACCCTACTGCTGAGTGTGTTATTAAATACACCTATAAATGGTAACCTATGGAGACCACGACTTAGGGTGGAGTAAGAGAGTCAGTAACCAAGTATGTATTGAGTGTCTACTACAAGCAAGAAGATAGGGAAGTTAAGAAGGTATAGTCTCTGCTTTTAGGAAGCTCACAGATAAATTATAATCTCTCCTGATAAATATTATGAAGCAAGTCCCACGGGAGAAGTGGAACTTAGTCTTGGTCAGGGGAGCCAGAGCAGGCAGGCTTCTCATCAGAGGGATCTTGGTGCTGAGCCTTCAGGAACGAGCAGTTTGCTGGCAGAAGAGATGGCAGCAGTAAGATCAAAGGCACAAGGCATGGAGCAGCGGAGGGAGGGGCGTGGCCAGGCGAGGGGTGATGGGTGCACAGCGTGGCAAAAGAGGAGCCCGTGAGGAGGGAGTGTGGGAGGGGACACTGGAGAAGCAGGTTGGGCCAGACTGTGAGGGGCTTCGGGGATGTGCAAGGAATTGGCAACAGGAAGCCACAGAGAGGAATAATGTGATCCAATCTGCTTTTTAGGACTACCCTGGAGGCAGTAAAAGCAGTGGATGGGAATGGAAAGAGACTCGCAGCAGAGAGACAGGGTCAGGAGGTGCGGTCACCTAGACAAGAGACGATGGAGGTGTGTCATCCTCTCCAGCAGTGTGAATGGGGTTGTAGGTGCCAGACGTGAAAGATTTCTGAGGCAGAGACGGTGGCAACTTAGTGACTGCCTGGATGCAGGAGAGGAAGGATGTAAGGAGAGGGAGGAGGCAAGCCTGACTGGTGGTTTCTGGATGTGGAGACTGTTAATTCCTAAGACCAGAGTACAAGAGGAGGGCAGGTAGATGCGAGCATACGGGCTCCCTCATAGAAAAACCCATGAAAGGTCTGTGGTACCTAGAGTGCTTAAAAAAAAACTGCCCCTACTACTTTCTGACTACCTTTATTACTTTATAATTTACTGAATACTGCTGTGCACAAAACGATAAGCAATCTAATAAATCATTATTCTGTCTGGATAAGTATTAATATTCTTTCATTACATAAATTACAAAACCCTCTACATAAAAAATTGAATAATTTAGACACAGATTTGTTTTGTCCAGATGTGTTAAACCAATAGGGACATTTCCAAGATCTACTAAGAGGGGAATGTATGAGCCCCAAGTTATAAGAAATTATTTTCAGAACCAAGAAAACAAGTATAGATTTAAACTAATGCTGTCCACAGCTTAAACTTTGTAGAGATGAGAAAAACGAGACAAAGCACATCGCTATTGATCACAGAACTCTGACTCATTTGTTCTTTCACTCACTCATTGGACACATACTTACTGGGCACCTGTGGTCTGCGAACGTGATGTTAAAAAGAACAACTGTGGTTCCCATGAAGCTTACAGTCTAACGGTGGAGATACACAGTTAATAGGCAAACAAAACATAAGTATATACTGTGAGAAGGGCTGAGAAAGGAGCCAAGCAAGGTGCTGTAATGAGGACGTTTACATCAGGGACGTGTACATCAGATATATGGTTAAAGAAGGTATGAATTAAAGGGTCAAATGAGAAATGAGCTGATATGGGCAAGTGGGCAGCAAGACATTCTCAACAGAAAGAACAAGCAGGGAACTGAGAAAAGCCAGAGAGGCTAGAGGTAGAAAATCTGGCAGAGGTTAGGGAGGTAGGCAGGGATATATTAGAATCCCTGTTATGTGATTAGCATTGTGGGAAAAGTTTTTTTCCAGTATCACTTTATATTTAATTAAAAGCTATTCTTTGAGTGCTTTTCAATCCTCCCCTTTTAAGTTAAATTTAGTTCCTTTTCTAATATAAAAGAAATATTTTAAAAAATAAATGCAAGTGTAGTAGATGCTATGTTGTGCCATCCAGATCCATTTCTTCGGAAATGAGGTTCTTATATGCACAGCTGCAGAGAGTGTTGGTTGAATCAAAGATCTCAGTTGAATTCCTCTTTGGGACTTGCCCTCAGTCTAAGAAAGCTGACTCCCCCAAGGTCACACTCCTCACAGTGGGTAGGAGGGAAGCCAGTATCTAAAAACTAGTCAGTGCAGGAGTATAGAGACCAGATGCTCTTGCTTTAAGGCAGGACAACTCCAGGGGGTCACTCCAGCTCCAGAGCTCCCCAGGGATCTATCGAGGTCTTTGCTGGGACTACATCATCTCCATCCTACCTTCTGCACTTCCCCAGAGGTGTTGATTCCAAGGTTACTCCCCAGTAAACTTCCTGCATAGAAACCTCTCAGAATCTATTGCTCAGAGAATCTGACTTAAGACTGCATGAAATATTACAGGTCTATACATATATCATTTTTATAGTCAATATTTCAAAGAGTTGTTTCCAGTTCAGTATTTGTAGGGGATTTGATGGTGACGGTGATGCTGATGCTGATGATGATGTTGATAGAAGCTATACAGCACTTACCAGTATCAGCCTCTATGTGTGTGCATGTTTTATTTAATCCTCACAACTCTTTGAGATAGATACCATTATCATAATATTTAATAAATCATGAACCTGGAGCTAGGAAGCTTAAATAACTTGCCCATAGTCGCATAGTTAATAAAAGGCAGAACCAAGTTCTAGTTGCTCTTAAACTAAAGTCTGTGCTCTTAGCTATCCTAACATACTGCTTTCCCAAGACTCACTCCTTTTAGTTGTATCTTAAATTCTATACTCCATTACTGTAGCATCCTATGATTTTAAAGAAAACAAGAAACTCTTGTTTTAAAATTTGTATGCTAATCATTAAATTATATGCTTACTATTAAGT